ACGCGCTGGCCAGCATTTTCGCAGCCAGCGCGTCCGAGAGGCCTCGGGGGAAGGCTTCTCTGCCGCAGCTCAGAAGCGTGGCCGCGAAAATGCTGGCCAACGCGTCTGAGGGGTGGAGGAGGAGCCTTTCCCCGAGGCCTCTCAGACGCACTGGCCGGCATGGAAGCCATCCGGACACCCCCTACCCTGTCCCCGCCGCCGCTGAGAGCCTTCCGAGCTCTCAAAGGGCTTTCTCCAATGGGGGAGAAGCCCTTTGAGAGCGCGGAAGGCAAATGTCAGCGGTGGCTTTGGAAGGACTGCCGACATTTTCCCCCAGCTGAGCGGCGGGGCTTTGAAGCTCCCGCCTCAGCTGGGGGAAAATGCCAAAGGCCCCATTTTCGGTCAGCTGGTCGGCGGTTCCAAAATGGCCGCCCCGCTGTGCTGCCTCGCTCTAGAGGGACCGAAAATGGCCACCCCTATGGAGGAACATCGCTGAACGGTAAGTTTATCCCCCATAGGAACGCATTAAACGGAGTTTAATGCGTTCCTATGGGTTTTTCCTTTCCGTTTAGCGATGTTTCCGCATAGTGACAATTAATCCGGAACGGATTAACGTCGCTATGCGGGGCACCACTGTAATTGTTCATAGTTGCTTTACTGGAGTAATCTTGGTTTCTGCGCAATATTTAAGTGGATATTTAACTATATTTAATAATACAAGTGCCTTACCAAAATGATCCATTTTTCTAGGGTCCTGATGTAAAAAACTATTAGACCCAGGTGTGTTTTTAATACTGCTTTTCCTTTTTTATTCTGAAATATAGGTTTTTGTATCGGAAGACAAGTCATCTGCTTCCAGGGAAGTAGACAATTTCTATAATTTTGCAGATATGCAGATGGGAATGTGAACAATCAGAAGCATTCTATTCAGATGTGATCACTTCCGTGGTTTAGGAATACATTAAGTCTGTATAGCACTCTTGAGTTGTGACATGTTTTGAAGGAAAGAAGACTTTTCTCATCTTCTCACACAATTTTATAAAATGGAATGCATCCCACAAAGAAAACAATTCAGATACGTTTGCAAATTCAATTTAACTCTCACCTTGCTATTTCTAATTATTTCTTGCATATAATGTTTAATTGTTATGATAAATGAAGTGTTTGCACCTATAATATAGTGGTGCCTCGCTTAATGAAGATAATCCGTTCCAGGAAATCCGCTGTTAAGCGAGAACATCGTAAAGCGAAATTAAAAACCCCATTGAAACGCATTGAAAACCGTTCAGTGTGTTCCAGTGGGGTAAAAACTCACCGTCCAGCAAAGATCCTCCATACGGTGGCCATTTTCGCTGCCTGTATAGCGAGGAATCCGTCCCTAAGCACAGTGGGGAGCCATTTTAAGCACCCGGCGGCCATTTTGAAAACCCGACGATCAGCTGTCTTTGATCGTCGTAAAGCGAAAATCTGTTCCTGAAGCAGGGAACCGATCATCGCTAAGTGAAATTCCCCCATTTAGACCATCATTTTGCGATCGCTGTAAAGCGGATTTGTCGTAATGTGGGGTAATCGTTAAGCGAGGCACTGCTGTAGTACATTTGATAGCTTATAGAAGTTAGAAAGCTGGTAAATATGTACATTGATTTTAGCCAGATTAAATCTGATTTTCAAATAAATCTTTTAATTAGCAGATTAATAAATTTTTATATAGCAGAGGTAAGAAAAACAGTAAAACTTTTTATTCTGAAGTTCCAGTAATCTGGAATTTTTAGTTCCTAGATGCTGGCTTTTTGCATCTAGCAACTGATGGTTCAGTTAAGCCTGGTAAGCAGCTTCAGAAGTTGGGTTTTGTAGATGTCTTCACAGCAGTGCTCCCACTTCTGGTGCAGAATTTCAGTGTAGAGACATTTGGCTCTTGCTGTTAATTGTCTGAAACTTCTTTGGATTCTTGCAATAGGAGTTAACAAATTCTTCTAAATTCATGAGAAATAGGGTTTGCAGGAGAGATTGGCACTTCAGGTTCCTTCCGCACATAAAATCCAAAGTATAGGCTTCTAAATTCTGCGCAGATGTCCAAATATTTTTTGAGAATTTTGGAGTGATGATGACTTAGAATGAAATCATTGTTTTGGGAACATCTGTGAGTTTAAATAGTACAATTGACTGTCTTAGATGGAAACAGAACAGAATGTGCAGAACTTTTGAGCTGGTTTAGAATGTTACAACAAATAATACTAAAATTGAAAATTAAGCTAATGCAATTGGTATCACTTGCAGTGAGTACCAGAGTAAAAATGACTGGTTTTAGAATGCTGAAACAAGATGGCAATTTGCTTTAAATAAACTTGAATAAATACTAGACAAGGACTTCAACTGTACTGAGGTCTTTAGAAACGGTGATATTTTATACAAACTGTTACTTTTACTTCCTTTTTGGAATCACAAAATATGCTGTCTAGATACAAATGTAAATAAGGGTTTATTTCCTATAGCAGCACTTTATGCTGGATAAGGACTACCACATTTTTGCTTTATATCAGGGGAAATCTCTGCAATATGTGGAGAGAACCTATTTGTCAAATCAGTGAAGCATTTTTATTACATTTCTTTTTATATTTTTAATATGAAGGAATTTATTACAGTTTTAAAATTTGTGAATTAAATATTATCTAATATTGCACATTTTATGTAAAACTAGCCAGTTACTTTTTCTAGTATCATACTCCAGTAAGTGCTTTATCAGAGTTTTGTATGTTATGGCTTTTATATGCAGTCTGTCTAGCACTTGTGAAATATGGTTCATAATAAATATTTAAATGAAAAATTCCTTTCATGTATGTAGAATGAAGTATTTTGCTATAATCAAACCTGTTCTGTGTTTCTGATTTCCAAATCTGAGAATCTCTAATGTCCTGATTATGTATATTTAATCATTTCACATAAAAATTGTTGAATCTAGTGAGTCTAGATTTTGTTTAAAATACAGAAAAATTAGTCTGAGATTGTCAAAGCTTAAATCTCCCTGCAAGATGGAAGAAGAAATGGGTGTTACTCTTATACAGAATTCTCTATCCTCATTTTTGGGACAGCATAGGAACTTTAGAAATATATATACAGTGGTGCCTCACTTAACGACGTTAATTTGTTCCAGCGAAATCGCTGTAGAGTGAAAACGTCGTAAAGCGAAATAAAAAACCAATTGAAACACATTGAAAACCCCTAAGTGCATTCCAATGGGCTGAAAACTCACCGTCCAAGAAGATCATCCACAGGGGCGGCCATTTTTGGTGCCTGTAGAGCGAGGAATCTGTCCAAAAACACAGCGGGGAGCCATTTTGAGCACCCAGCTGCCATTTTGAAAACCCGACAATCAGCTGTTTTGATTGTCATAATGCGAAGAATCGGTTCCCAAAGCAGGTAACCGATCTTCACAAAGCGAAAAAAACCCATTTAAAACATTGTTTTGCGATCGCAAAATCACCGTCATGAAGCGGATTCGTTGTTATACAGGGCAATTGTTAAGTGGGGCATGACTGTAATATATAAAACAAATTTGGCCTGTCTTCAGATTATACTTGTGAATACTGTTAGTGTTCAGATAGTTGCATCCTTTTTTTTCCTGAAAAATAAAGCCCTGACTTACCTTACTGGCCTCTGCTAGTGGCAAATAAAAGTTGTTACAGTGGTGCCTCGCTTTACGATTGCCCTGCTTTATGACGAATCCACTTTACGACAATCTTTTTGCAATGGCAAAACGATGGTCTAAATGGGGGAATTTCGCTTAGCGATGATCGGTTCCCTGCTTCGGGAACCAATTCTTCGCAAAACGATGTTTTCTAACAGCTGATTGGTGGTATCAAAATGGCCGCTGGGTAATTAAAATGGCTCCCCGCTGTGTTTAGGGACGGATTCCTCGCTATACAGGCAGCGAAAATGGCTGCCGTATGGAGGATCTTCACTGGACGGTGAGTTTTTACCCCATTGGAATGCATTGAACGGGTTTCAATGTGTTTCAGCTGGATTTTTTATTTCGCTTTACGATGTTTTCGCTTAACAGCGATTTTCCTGGAACGGATTATCGTCATTAAGCGAGGCACCACTGTACATTTTTAAAAAGCCTATTGCTTATATATCGCCCCATAGTGCTTAAAGCACTCTCTGTGTAGTTTACAACTTAATTATGCACGCTACACATTAATAGTCTCTCTGCAGCAAAACCCTAAACATCGCAGCCATAGTGCTGAAATCCTCCTCTTATAAAGACAAATAGCATTTCACTGTGATGGTAGAAGTAGGATGTATCCCTGCAGAAGATGACATGCATGAATTGTGCTATGTGGAGTCTGCCTCTGCACAACAGAGAGAAGTAAAATGTGTAAAGTGATGCCTCGACTTATGAACGTCCTGACATATGACCATTTCAAGTTATGACCAGCTCTGGCTGCAAAATTTTGCTTCGACTTGTGGCCAGAGCTTCCAGTTACAAACAGAAAAAGGCAGGGGGAAAAGGTGGGGAATTCAAATTGCTAACCGTTGGTGGCAAAGAGGCTGCTGCTTTGTAGCTCTTTCACTCCAACGGTTAGAGAGAGTGCGATCAGAGGAGGCTTCGGACTGCCTGGGGAGGTAAGGTGCTGCTTTCTACTTTTAAAAAACTGTTCTGGGTGGATTTTGCAGCGTGGTTTTGGGCTGGGTGGTGGGATTATGTTTCTATGCTGTGATGGGTCTTGCAGGGTTCCCCCCCCCCATTTCCAATGGGTCTTGCGGGGTTTGTTTAATTTTTGCTTTGCTTTTTTTGCATTTCTGATGGGTCTTGCAGGGTTTGTTTGCTTTTTCCTTTGCTTTTTTTGCATTTCTGAAGGGTCTTGCACGGTTTGTTTGCTTTCTGCAGTTGAGTTTGTAAGTTGAGGCACCACTGTAATTGAGGAAGATGGGGAATATAGACCATTGTAGTATGGCATTTTTGCTACCTTTGAGATGGGAAGAGAGACTTGAGTAGTGCCAGTAATTTTGGTAAAATAAAGTTATTACAACTGTTTTGAAAGGAAAACAATTTTTGAGGCTCGCACAGAAACAGGTCACTGAAACTTGTTAACTTTCTGTTGTAACAAATACATAGAATCTAATATTTAACATTAATAATGATACCTTTGGTTTCATTTTCCTACTAGGCAAGTGTCCTAGTAACATGCTGTTTTGGAAAAAAAAAGATTAGTATGTTGTGTCTACTATCTATAACCACAACACTTAATGAGGCATTTTACTTCATGATATGGAGTTCAACAACCTTTATACAAGATTTCTTTAACATGTATGTGTGTGTTGTAAGCTAATAGAAGCTTCTTTGTACTTGCAGATGTGTGTATTTTGATACTTAAGGACAGGGCTTGGAGGTAATTTTAATGTGTGTCACATCTAAGGAGCAGAGTAATATTGTGACACAGAATAAACAAGGTCCCTGATGTGAAAGGGACAAATAATGACAGGGAAGAATATTTTAAGAACCGACTGACTACAGTACTTTGATGACCCATCTTAGATCACCTGACACTTTGGTCATACAGAAACAGGAAACATATTTTTATGCCTAATTTCCTCTTTCTTGTTAATGCTCTATTAATTCTAAATGTGCTTATTCATAAATTGCTGCTTGGATCCTTTCATTAGTTGCACTTCATATTTACGAGAAGGCTAAGTATTTTTTTCACCCCCAATACAGTATATGTCAGGCACCCTATTAGAGGACTTTTAGTCTGTCCGATGCTTCTAGGAGTTTTCAAATTAAAGAGATGGCTTTTAATACTTCATTTAGTAAACTTAAAGTAAAACTTCTGATCTTTGTTTCCACTTGCAAAGACATCAAGAATCATTGTTTAAAATTGATATTAATGTTCTGGTTGTGGCCAACTGCTCCGATGAATAGAATCATATTCTACAATCACACCACATAATATTTTACCTAATACTGGTCAAAGCTCTTACTGCCTAACATTCAGTCTTCAACCAAAAATTATACAGACAGGAGGACCATGAAGACTTTTCCAAGTAGGTAGGTGTTCTGTGGTGTCATGTTGGAACTGATAGTGACCCTAATAGGGCACTTTCATTATAAGGTAAGTGATATATTTAAGGAATGGTTTTACGAGTTTCACTCCCCCATTAAGTTTCCATGACAGTAGGATTTGAACACTGTTCTCCAGAGTCCTAATCCATCACTCTATTCACTATACCACACTGGGAACTCAAATATACAATATCAAGATATCTTCATGATGAATATAGACTGCCTTCATTTTGAACACAGTGGCTAGAATCCTGCTGAAATTCATGCAAGGTGTATGTAACTTGTCTCAGCTTATTGACAAAGTGCTAGGACACACATTGGTTGCAAAATTAAGTACATAACCAGACATGCAAGTGATACACAGCCCAACACTTTGGCAATTAGCTGTGACAAGCTGTGCAAGCACCAATAGAGTTCTGGTCCATACCTTCCATTGAGATTCCTAAGAACCTGATTATAACTTTGGAGAATTTAGACTTTTGAGTGGGATATGAGGCAGTATATCATGCATGTTCTTCATGTTACTGTTACCCATGAAAGCTAGTCCAGCAGACTATTTGGCTACTTGTCAATGCCAGAGAATTGTGGCACTATCAGTTCTGTTTTTTCAAGCTGTAAAAGAGGTATCCTCCACTTCACAGTGGAAATATCTAGCAGATTGCTTATACTCATGGAAGTAACCTGCTCTCAAGCCTTGTGGAGCAAGTCACATCCATATTCCTTGGCTCAAGAACACAGTAAACCTTTCCAATAAGCACAGAATTTCTACGCTGTTCTGAACAGGCATAACTATCATGAGTTTCCCACAAAGATAACTTGTATTCTTCAAGTCATGTGTAAATTCTTGTCTGTTTAATAAACTACAGTTACAGATACTGTACACTATATTAGGTTAGGGTGTCCTAGCCTGTGAAAAGAGATGGCACCAGCTGTTTTTCACAACTACATAACAATATGTTACTGAGCTATAGTTTTATCTTTTGTGTAATGTTCTTCAGGCTTCAGTCAATAGCTGGAGTAGCAGCAAAAAATATGTGCTGTTACTAACATGGTCTAATGAAATTAAAAGCAATCTGTAGGTTGGGTACCTAGCTTTGCCAACTTCATCTTTCTTAGAACTTTATTATGACAGCCATTGCGGTTATAGCTTCTGTATTGCATATTAGCTTTGTAGATGGATAAGTGTTACTGTAAATCAAAATTGTGTTGTAAAGGCCATTTTATAGGCAGAGGCCAAGAGCCACAACTTTTATACCTCTGCCTTATGAACAATGTGAGCAAGTCCATGTTACCTTCAGCTCTATTCTTTCACACACTGGATTTTCTATTGATGCAAGTAGCTAAATGTGTGTTAGTTAGCAGCTTTCCAATGTAGCAATTTCCTTAATGTCTGCCATAGAGTGGTAAATTGTGAAATTTGTTGCAGCACTGAAAGCTGTTCCAGCTTCCAGCTTGTTATATTGCTTCTATGACTGGATGGCTATGAATTATGCGTATTCATGGCTCCCAAAATGTGTTGGTGGGAAAAGGTCGGTACTAAATCGAAAATTATATACAGTACTTCGATAAAATACTACAGTACTTAAGATGATTTTTAATATGGGTTTAACATACCTGCTTTCCCACCTCTTTTCCTTTGAGAAAATTGAGCAGTACCTTATATATATTGTATGCATGCTTATGTACTTTATGCATTTATGGTACTTCTACCTATGAGAGAAGATTAAAGGTGACAGAGCAAGAACCTCTTTGTATTCACTGTCAACACACTAGTCTTGGTAAGCTTATAGAATGATTGCATCCTTAATACAAATAACTTTTAAAATTGATTTTTATCAATTTTAAATAATCCTTTCCAAACTGTCTTTTATCATATATTGCTTAAGAAACCCTACTGAAGATACTTAATAAAAAAAAAAGTTGTTTATTATTTATTTATTTATATGCCGCCCACTCTACCCAAAGATCTCTGGGCGGCTTACAACAATTTGCCCTGCTCGCCAATGCATTGAGATTTCAAGCGTGTTTCATCTAAATGTTTGCTTCTACTGCCTTTTCCTTGTCTATGTAACAGGCTGATAAATAATCCCTTGCCTTTCCATCTAGTAGCTGGTTTTTTTTTTGTGTTGTTTTTTGCGAATTCCAGTTTTAAGAGTCCTTACCAGCAGAGATTACGTGGGTTCAACGATCTCTCCTCTGCCAACATGCACAGAACTCAATATGCATGATCTATGGTGCATGACAGTGACTTATATATGGATATAGATACAGTAAAGCCCTTTTTTGTCCGTGAGTTTGAGCAGGAAACCAAGCAATCTTCAAACTGCCCGGCGATGAGGAGAAAAGGGCGGGAGAACGATACGGAATTGAATTACTGTATACGTTTGCTCCTGTTGATTGGCTGTGGGAACATCCTAGCGATCTGAACAGCTCAGGCTCCAGGGCATTGAGTTTTATCTTTTCATATGGAAGATTATAGGTTCGTTCAGCTGTTGATCACGTTCCACTGAAAGCGTCGGCCTACCACCTGACAGCAAGACACCCCCCCTTTGGAGGCTTACTTTCGAGTAACTCTGAAGGGAGGAGCAAAGCCGCCGAGGGCGCGTGGGTCTGTGCGCGAGCGCGCGCGTTGGGGGGGGTCGCCCCCCTTCTCGGCGTGCAGGTGCCATCCAGTACCAGCCGAGCTCGGGCAAAAAAAAAAAAGGGAAAGAGGTGGAAGTGCCGCCGTTGCCTACCAAGGGTGGGAAAGAAGGGAAAGGGAAGAGGCGGAGCCTGCGAGGCGGCCGTAGCCGCGGTGTCACTAATACAATAGGGCTCTTGTGCCGCCGCCGCCTGGCCTGTGGAAGGGAGGCAAGGGGCGACAAGGACACGGGCCCGCTGGCCGGAGGAGCGCGGAGCCGAGGGAGGCGCCATGGTGAAGGGCGAGGAGGCCGGCTCGTAGTCGAGGCCAGCGCGGAGGACCGAGGAGGCGGGAGGAACGGAAAAGGGGCTCCGGCGCGGCTGAGGAGATGGGCGACGCGACATAGCGGCAGCCGCGCTCTCCGTGACGCCCGGGCCTCTCTCGCTCGCTCGCTCGCCCACGCCCGTTTGCTCCCCGTGCTGCTGCTGCTGGTGTCGCCGCCGCCGCCCGCTCCAGAGCCACAAGGTGAGGGGGCGGCGAGGGGAGTTCAGCCCACGGGGGGGTGTCTTTATTTTATTGGAAGAGGAGCAGTAGCGTCCCTTCTTTCACCCGCTCCGGCCTAGAGAGATTGAGAGAGGGGGGCCCCTAAGCGGGTTACTAGGCGAGACCCGAGAGGCCGAGCCGGCTATAGGTAGGCCCGGGCTGGAGCCTTCCTCCTCCTCCTCCTCCCCAGCGCCCCCCTCCTTCCTCTGCGCAGGCGGCGCTTGGCGCCAAGGGCTGCGGGGCTTGGAGTCAGGCTGGCGGGGCGGGAAAGGGGCCGATCGACCCGGAGGTGAGCCGGGAAGAGGCGGAGCAGCTCTGGCGCCGCCCCGGGAGACGTTTCCCCCCCCCCAGTGGTGCGGCACGTGGACGGCCGCCCCTCCCTCCCTCCGTGCTGCCCGGCCACTCGGTGGTGGACGAGGGGGTGGTGGGGTGCATGCGTGGGCCTCGTGGGTTCCTCTTTCTCATCCACCCCCCCATCCCATCTGCGAAGTCTGTGGTGGATCCGTTCGCACGTATGAATGAGCAGGAACTCATGTTGGGTACATAGGAGTTTAAGGTCCTGTGCCCTTACTCTGTGTAGAAATTAGAACAACCCTTTCCCCCTTTAAACTTTTAAAATTCTGATTTCACTTCGCCGGCCTTTAAAGTTCGATTCGCGCAGCTTTTTCAGGCTGGTGTCTTTCTTTTTAGCCTTTGTTCGTCGGAGGTCATGTGAAGTGCTTTTGAAAGCATTGTAGGTAAATTAATAAACAAGCAAGCAAATAAAAGAAAAAACTTGATAACACCTGAACGACAAACTTATATTTCAGTATGAGTCCACTTCTTCAAACATAATGAGAGAGATAACATGGCAAATATTTATACATCGGTCGTTGTAGGTTTTTCGGGCTGTTTGGTCCTGTTTTGGAGGTTTTTCTTCCTAACGTTTCACTGGTTTCTGTGGCTGGTGTCTTCAGAGGACAAGAGTTAGAACCCTGTTCTGATTTATATGTTGCCTCAAAATACAACTCAGTGAGTACTGTGTTTAACAGGGTGATCGCCTCTTAGATATATGGGTATTATTGAAGCTTGTGCTGTAAAGCAGGGGTCCCCAGCCCCCAGTGCACGGCCCGGTGCCAGTCTGTGGCCTTGACAGAACTGGGCTGCAGAGAGAGAGCTTCCCCCATGCATGCACCACCCGCACACACGGGTGCCCCACCCACCTGCGTGAGTGCAATTGTGCACCCCACCCACAAGTGTACCCTGCCCATCCATGCGAGCATGCCCTGACCATCCAACCGGTCCACAGTTCGGAAAAGGTTGAGGACCAATGCTGTAAAGCAGTGATCCCCAACCTTTTTCAGTCCGTGGACCAGCTGGTGAAGGCAGGGCACCCCACACGCTCGTGCGCATGCGTGAACAAGTGTGCGCTCTCGTATGAGCGCGGATGCACCTGTGAGCACCGCACTACTGTTTGCATGTGTGCATGCACAAATGGCAGCGTGGTGCTCACACAGTGCACTTGTGCACATGTGCAAATGGCAGCGCAGCACTCACATGGGTGTGCTGGAGTGTGTGCACAGGCACAAATGGGCTGTGCGGGGGTGAGTGCGTGCGGGGGGTGGGACAGGAGGTTTGTCTTGGCAGCCCGGTCCAGCTCAGGCCACGGACTGTCAGGGGGGTTGGGGTCCTCTGCTGTAAAGGATGTAAGAACCTCTCGTGAATAGCGATGGTAGGATAACGTGAATGCTAATTGTACTGAGAAAACAAGCCTTTTACAGTTGCTAATGACCAGGCAGTGGATGACCATAACAGCAACATGGCCATGAGTTGAGACTCTCCAATTTACCTTTGAAGTTTTTTTAGATCTGTTGAGGAGGAAAATATATCTGGGAGATACAATATAGTAAAATTGTTGTAGTGTTCATACAGTATTTTGTAGTGCCCTAAAAAGCCTTAGTGTCTTTTGAGTCCATTGAGATGCGTATAGCATGTGTATATGCTTTAAACTGGCAGCAGATGCTGCTACTCTTAAGTGGATGTAGAACCCTCAATGTATGTTCAGTATCAGTACCAATGTTTTGGAAGAAACCTGTATCATAAGCTTCCTGTGGAGAGCTGCTGTAGATTGCTGGCATTGTATGCCAAACATAAACTGTTTTATGATTTTGGTCCAGTGCTTTCAGAGGGAGTACATTGAGCATAGTGGAAAGTGCTTCACATTTATAACAAAATTTGGAGAGACATTCCAATTCTTATCAGTAGAGGTGGAATCCGAAATATGACCTTAATTTGCACCCCCACCCCAGTTTTGGAATTTACTTTAAACAAGGAAACCTGGAGAATACGGTATACCCTAATTTATAGAACTTTCTTCTGTGCCATCTCCAGCCATGTGGTGCTCAGCCTGAAAAATACTTATGTGGGATTTAAAAGCTAGTTTATGTTTATTTGTTTTTTTAAATAGTCTGATAAAGGTATCATTGAATGCCCCAACTACAGTACAGTTGCACTCATTTCACACGCTAGAAAGGTTATGCTCAAAATCCTACAAGGGAGGCTTCAGCAGTACGTGGACCGAGAATTCCCAGAAGTACAAGCTGGATTTCAAAGGGGCAGAGGAACTAGAGACCAAATTACTAACATGCGCTGGATTATGGAGAAAGCCAGAAAGTTCCAGAAAGACATCTACTTCTGCTTCATTGACTATGCAAAAGCCTTTGACTGTGTGGACCACAGCAAACTATGGCAAGTCCTTAAAGACATGGGAGTGCCTGATCACCTTATCTATCTCCTGAGACATCTATAATGTGGGACAGGAAGCAACAGTTAGAACTCGATATGGAACAACTGATTGGCTCAAAATTGCGAAAGGAGTACGACAAGGCTGTATATTGTCCCCCTGCTTATTTAACTTATATGCAGAACACATCACGTGAAAGGCTGGACTGGAGGAATCCCAAACCAGAATTAAGATTAAAGGGAGAAACATCAACAACCTCAGATATGCAGATGATACCACTCTGATGGCAGAAAGTGAGGAGGAATTGAAGATCCTCTTAATGAAGGTGAAAGAGGAGAGTGCAAAAAATAGTCTTAAAAAGCAGAGACATCACCTTGCCGACAAAGGTCTGCAGAGTCAAAGCTATGTTTTTTCCAGTAGCAATGTATGGTAGTGAGAGCTGAACTATAAAGAAGGCTGACTTCCAAAGAATTGATGTTTTTGAATTGTGATGCTTGAGGAGGCTCTTGAGAGTCCCTTGAACTGCAAGGAGAACAAACCTATCCGTTCTCAAGGAAATCAACCCTGAGTGCTCACCAGAAGGACAGATCCTGAAGCTGAGGCTCCAATATTTTTGGCCATCTGATGAGAAGAGAAGACTCCCTGAAAAAGCCCCTGGTGTCGGGAAAGGGTGAAGGCAAGAGGAGAAGGGGATGACAGAGGACAAGATGGATGGACAGTGTCATCGAAGCTACCGACATGTATTTGACCCAACTCTGGGAGGCAGTGGAAGACAGGAGGGCCTGGTGTGCTCTGGTCCATGGGGTCACGAAGAGTCGGACATGACTTAAGGACTAAACAACAACAAAAGGTATCATCCACCCTTGTCTTTGGATTGCTTCGTGTGGGAATGAATAGAATTCCAATGTAATTTGTGGATGGTATAATTTGTATAGATAAAGGTGTGTCAGAAAACAAGGTTGTTACTTTAGAGGTGCTTTGGGGATTGCTTTTCTTATCCTGTAGTGGGCCCATTTACCAATCAACAAAAACAAGGGCAAAAGAGGATACTCATTGGCATAAAATTTTATATGGCAGTTTATAGGCACAAATGTAAAATTTTAAATGGCTTCTATTATTTAAATAAAGTTGTCATTCATTTCTCTCTGATCAGGAAGACTGGTCAGGTTTCCTGTGTGCCTGCTGAGTCTTACTGCCCAGGTGAGTGGACAACATTTCAGATGGAGAACACTTTTCTTAAAAGAGGAGATTTAGTCACTCTGCTATGTAGTGATCTTTGGAGGCAGGGACATACGCCAGTAGTAGGTGAAGGTGAAGTCACACTGGGCAAGCTGTTCACTTCATCTGGAGTGAGCTGGCAGCTTTCCTTTTTCTCCCCATCCTTGGTAAAGATAGGTGTGCTTCCATTACTATGTTTTGTTTTTACTTCCATTACGCTTTTTGATTATTTTTATTTGATGCATTTATAACAAAAAGATAAAAGTTTATAATATTTAAATGAAAAATTTAAACATTTATGTATTTGGTTATCCTTCAGTGAGTTGAAAGGCAGCATAGGCAGCTTTCTTGCTCTTTTGGACAACTACACAACAATCTTGGGAAGTAGTCCAGGCTCAGAGAGTTATTGGCTGAAGATTCCCAGTAATCCCTTTATAAGGCTGAGACTAAATTAAATACTGTGGGATTTGCTCCGCTTAAAAATCATACAAATTCAAGCTATTTTTTACTGATCACATGATGCAAAGGCCAATTTTAATCAATAGGAGTGATTTGGCTTGCTTCTCTAGTTAGTCTTAAACTAGCAGAGATTTGAATCTCAGTCTCCCAAGTTGTAGACCAATGTCGTACTTATCCATCCCACCCATGACATTAAACTTAGAGGTGCCTATCATCTCTCCTCGATTCTCCCAGGAGGAGGACAGAAATGCTTTAAGTTTGCATTTTTAAAGTGGAAAGCAAAGGTAACAAGTTAATGCTTGTCTGGTTCACAATAAGTACAGTAAATACATTGTTTCTGCAGTTTCGCCTTAGAATACTACTTATGCTCAGTCATGTTATTGAAAGTGTCTTGTACATTGTTAGGCCTGCCAAGAATATGTTTGAGCAGGTGTTGAGGCACGTCCTTTATTGTGTTAAACCTTACATTGGGGTGGGTTTTTATGTTGTGTAGGAATTTATAGTGGATCTTAATTTTAAAAAGATTTCTAAAAACTACAGTTCATTGTTCAAACAAAAAACTGTATCTGAAATTTATTTCTTT